CAATATAACTTGGCACAGAAGTAGACTACATTAAGATACATAATTCTATTCATTGTTGCATGTTGCAATGTTTCAAATCCAAGTGCTACTTTTCTTTTGTTATACAAACAGACCAGTAGAGCTACAGTCTCATCAGAGACTTCTGGTTCTATATTGTTTGAGAATTTGTCAAATAAGGTAACTAATCAGTAAGTATTTTCTAACTCGACTTTGCAAAGAAATAGATCTTTCTCTCAGAAAAATAGAATTATCCAATCAAATACTTTGAAAGACATGGTTTTTCTGACTTTGATTTTTTTTAATATTGAATGAATAGCTAGGTAGATTCTTGAATGAGTGAAGTGGACTCTAAACAGAAAAAAAGCTTGGAATGGCGTAAAGTAGCAGCTCTGTCGGGCCGTAATTAATCGTCAAGGGGCCGTAATTAACCGTCAATAATAAAGGTGCCTTTCCCTATGGTCTTCAAATCTACAATGAAGGAATGATAAAATCAGGTTTCCGAATTTGTTGTAGATAAAGACAATAGTTAATTACAATCAACATGAGTTTCTACAATAGTTTAAGGAGTCAAAACTGAATTTTAAACGAGTTACATGTGGCCGATAGAGCATTGGGCCTCCAAAAGTCTCTAGAATATAGCTTTTGTAGGATTGCGAGTAAACTGTGGCCGCTAGAGCATTGGGCCTCCGAAGTCTCTAGAATATAGCTTTTGTAAGATGGCATGAGAGTAAATTGTGTTCGGTAGAGCATTGGGCCTCCGAAAGTCTCTAGAATATAGCTAGCGCTTTTGTAAAATTGAGAGTAAATTAAATGTGGCCGCTAGAGCTTTGGGCCTCCGAAAGTGTCTAGAATATAGCTTTTGTAAGATTGAGAGTAAACTGTGTCCGGTAGAGCATTGGGCCTCCGAAAGTCTCTAGAATATAGCTTTTGTAAGATTGAGAGTAAACAATAATAGAATTGTGACACGTAGAGGAATTATTTGATAAACAAGTGAAAAGATATTAAAGAAATATCTTATACATACAAAGTTATAGAATACAAGATTATCAGGTCCTGGGACATCTATAAATCTGGCTCCAGGGAAAATGAGATTATAACAAGACACAAATAGATAAAAAGCTCACAAAATAATAGACAAGGAATTTCAAGGATAAACATCCAAATTAAGTTTTATATATTAAAAACTTATTTCAAAAACGTTAATTTTTCTCGGTGATATTCCTCCATGTATACATGTACATATAGTTATAGATAGTGTTAAATTAAGAAACTTGAACTGTTTACTGCATATTCTTATAATCAATCTCTATATTTAGAAATACAGGACAGGTTTTTGTTAACTGTATATCTACTTTTTCTCTGTTTACATATATATCTTGATTTTCCGGAAATGCGGATTGAATCTACTGTATAAGCGAGTCACCTACGAAATTACGTGTCCACGAACCAGTAAAAGATATGATAAGGGTAACCGTTGTAAAATGCCTACATATAAAGCTTCAATAATATAAAAATCAAATTATTCAATTTGTAAGCTCAGGATTTACAGCAAAGTTCTAATTATTGGAAGGTATGAAATCATGACAAAACTTTCCTGTGGAAAAATTCTTTCGGCAAAAATTCTTCTATCTAAACAAATAGATAAATTGCGAGTATCAGTTACTTTTGTCTCGGTGAATGTCACGCTAACCACTACACTACACAGTTCATAACATTTAGAGGCATTTAAATTTTGTTTGTGATATGTGGAAGGTACGAATTCTGTTTCATAAAAGCGTTTTTTTAAAGTAGAGTGGGTCCTTGTTTCATGTTTTTGTAAAGCATTTTTAAACATACTTTGAAAATATACTTCCCCCCAAAAATAACCCACCTATATAAAAAAAATTATGATATACATCAAGCATGAAGAAATGATCGTTTTCATTCTTTTTGATGTGTGCATGCTTTCATAGACAAATAATATTTACACTTGTGAGATCTAGATTGCTGAAAAAATTTTACAGAAAGTACACATTATTGTTAACTGGAATATAAAAGTGTAGATTTTACAGAAAGTACACATTATTGTTAACTGGAATATAAAAGAAAATGTGCTATATATAAGATTTAATTTTTTTTTCACATTTTATTTATAGAACCGCGGGCATTTTTCTCGCATGTTTGTCCATCTCCTATGATAATATAAATTGAAATAGAACAAGCACGTATTATTGGCTTTAAAATGGAAAGGGGGGGGGGGGGGTCAGAGAAATAAACGACAATTGAATAAAAGACGATACAAGAGATCAAACGAAAAAGTCCATCCTCGATCTACCTATTTAGAGGGGGTTGAAAAAAAAAAAACTTTTACTATTAAAAAGTGTGTGGGTGTGTGTATGCGGGAAGATGGGGGGGGGGGGTGTCAAAGTATATTATCACTAGTATCTAAGGGGATGATCATAGATTCTCAATCATTTATCCATCTCTGGTCCAGTATACACAAGTGGGATGGGGGGTGAGGTCACACAATCAGGATGTCGCTGTCTGTAATCCCTGATGTCTTTATATATTAGATATATAGCTGTACATGTACATACACGCAGTATGTCCACAGCGTCCAGGCTTTGTCCACGTTTACACGATATGTAATTCGGTATGTTTATGTACGTTTATATAGTTAGACCTGAATGATACGAAGTGATAACGCAGTGATATGCAGATTTAAGTACACATGTACTGATTGGTTATCATTTCTCGTGATAAACCACGAGATTTTTCCATTGTCCAGTGATAGATGTTTAAAGCAGGGCGGAAAGTAGGGCCATAAACATTTCTCCAAGGCCAGCGGACACAAAGGAGGTACTCCTTCATTCACCCGACAGTCTGCAGACTCCAGGATTTAAGGTACTGCGGTAAAAATTATAAATATTTTCAAATTTTGTACCCCTGTGAATACAAGACTAATAAACACAACTGCTGTAGGGGCCCGGTTTGATCTAATATATTGCGTAAAGTAATGATATCACTGAAATATCACTGCAAATTTTAAAACATATTAATGGCTACATCTTAACGCAAACCTCAATTTTAAAAGGAAGGAATGAATTATAAATACTTTGTTGTAACACTACTACATTTTTCCTATTTGTGAGAGAAGGGGGAGGGGGCGAGATGGAATCATTAAGTATCGGAACCTCTCGGCATTAGTTTTGATTGTTATATAAGTCGTTCTGTTAAATTAATTTGAATGATTGTTTAGTAACCCAGTCTTCGAATTTCCGACTCTTAATATCTTCATGTCTGTTTCAAAAATGTACAGTTTAACTTTTATTTTAGAGATAACCTTTTTCATGTTTTTGGTGAAAGTGAATAAAAATGTATCCTGGGTAAGGTTATTGGTTAAACAGTACGAGCATTATATTAGTAGTCAGATCATCAGATAATCTATATCTATATAAAACAGATAATTTTTTGTTATAAGTTGTAAAAGTAATTCCTTGACTAAATCCGCTGTGCGTACACAGAGCGGCGCTGTGGGGCCGTAAACAACATAGACAAGAAAGGTGCCGTATTCCCCATGGTCTTCCAATATAAAGTCCAAGAACTGGTATAAAATCAGGTTTCCGAATTTATTATGGATGATGGTTAATAACAATAAACATGAATTTCAACAATAGCTAGCATATTAAGTTCAAAAATGTTAATTTTGCTCGGTGACATATTTATATTTAATTCGCCAAAATGGAGATTTTTAGTTTTTAGTGTCTCGAATGATGCAAAGCGGTAACATAGGAGGCTATCTTAAATTTGGTCCCTAGAAAAAATGTTTATGCAAGCTCTACGTCAGTCGTGGAGGATATGTAGTTGCTAGGCTAGGTTCAAGATCGTAGCTCTACGTGGAGGCTATGTAGCTGCTACGCTAGGTTCAAGATCGTAGCTCTACGTGGAGGCCATGTAGCTGCTAGGCTAGGTTCAAGATCGTATCTCTACGTGGAGGCCATGTAGCTGCTAGGCTAGGTTCAAGATCGTATCTCTACGTGGAGGCTATGTAGCTGCTAGGCTAGGTGCAAGATCGTAGCTCTACGTGGAGGCTATGTAGCTGCTACGCTAGGTTCAAGATCGTAGCTCTACATGGAGACTATGTAGCTGCTAGTCTAGGTTCAAGATCGTATCTCTACGTGGAGGCTATGTAGCTGCTAGGCTAGGTGCAAGATCGTAGCTTTACGTGGAGACTATGTAGCTGCTAGGCTAGGTTCAGGATCGTAGCTCTACATGGAGACTATGTAGCTGCTACGCTAGGTTCAAGATCGTAGCTCTATGTGGAGGCCATGTAGCTGCTAGGCTAGGTTCAAGATCGTATCTCTACGTGGAGGCCATGTAGCTGCTACGCTAGGTTCAAGATCGTAGCTCTACGTGGAGGCTATGTAGCTGCTAGGCTAAGTTCAAGATCGTATCTCTACGTGGAGGCTATGTAGCTGCTAGGCTAGGTTCAAGATCGTAGCTCTACGTGGAGGCCATGTAGCTGCTAGGCTAAGTTCAAGATCGTATCTCTACGTGGAGGCTATGTAGCTGCTAGGCTAGGTGCAAGATCGTGGCTCTACGTGGAGACTATGTAGCTGCTAGGCTAGGTTCAGGATCGTAGCTCTACATGGAGACTATGTAGCTGCTAGGCTAGGTGAAAGATCGTAGCTCTACGTGGAGACCTTGTAGCTGCTGGGGTATAGGTTCAAGATCGTAGCTCTACGTGGAGACTATGTAGCACTAGGCTACGTTCGGGATCGTAGCTCTACATGGAAACTATGTAGCTGCTTCGAACTTGGAACATACCGCCTGTTAATGGTTGTCGTACTATAGTTAGACCCGTTTACGATTGTCGTCAGTCTGTTCGATTCCTTTGACGGTCGTCGTTTTTCTGTTTCTCAGGCCCATATTTACGGTTGTCTTAATATGTTTAATTGTCAGTTATGATTACTGCCTTTAGTTTAACCCAATCCTCTGACTCTGTTTCAGATTACAATATAATGGGACTCGTGGAACACATTCATCCTGTTTTGGCAGAACTCGATTATCGAAAGGGGACTGTGAAAGCTACTTTCATTTTCGGTTCCTTTCTCTTCTTCTCCGTCCTTTACGTCCTGACGGGTATAATTTCCATGGCAACGTGGACTTATCGAAACTTACGTGAGAAAGAGAAGATGTTTTGGAAATTGGCTGTAGTCCGTGCGGTGTATGGGATTTTTTGCACTATTGTCGGGATGTGGGCGATATTCGTGGACACAGAGCTAGAGAAGGATCCCGTGTTCGCCACGAATCCGACGAGTTACTTCGCTCTCACAGTCACTGTCGGGTTTTTCGTGTTTGAATGCAGCGCCATCATGGTGTCTGACATTGTGTACAGAAAGGTCAGCATTCTTTTAAACATTCACCACTGGTTGTCTTTGTTTGGATACACCACTCTGATGTTAACAGAGTCTGCGCACTGCTTTGGAACAAAAGGACTGATTCTAGAGATGAGTACCCCATTCTCAGCGATCTGCTGGACCGTGCTGAAGGCGGGAAAAGCGGATTCTCTGCTGTGGCGCGCTAACCAGTTTATTCTGGTTCACACATTTCACCTGCGCTCAGTGGTGGAGTGTTTTATGTGGTACCTGACCTACACACATTGGGAGCGGATCTGGTCGGCCATGCCGTTGTCTATTTTTTCTTTCCTCTATATTCAGCTGACCCTCGTGACCTTTCTCATGACGCCTTACTGGACTTACAAGAAAACACAACAAATGATCACCCCCGTGGACTGGAACTTTGAAGACTCCGAGGCCAACAAAGCGCGAAACGGTGCCGTCAAGAAGTCCGCGTAGTTCATAGAAGACATTATTCTCCCAGGGTCATCGATCACATCCGGTTTAAAACAAAAAAGTGATGAACTGCTCGCTTCAAAATACTCATTTCTGTCATGATCTCATCGTCAGCCTTTCACGGAAGGGAGAAAATATCCACGTGTCAGAAAATCTCCTACCTCCATGATGTCAACATTGAGATTTAACTTTGTTTATAGTTTTGTAATCATTGTGTGCAAGGCACGTAAATGATAATTATTTATCACAATGAGTTTTTTTTATTAAGTATTTTTAGATAGATTTTTAATCGTCTTTGAATCCATATGTAGTTGTTATGTTAACAATTATTAAACACCCTTATGTTTCGCATGTATGTGTTTAATGAACTGATCAGAAAAATCTGAAACTTGTTAGTCACAGTACTATCAGACCAACGTTAATGCGTACCAACTGACACTTGTAAGTTACGGTATTATCTGACCCATGTAAGTCATTGTTCTTTTTCGCTCCTCGTACGTCAAGTACCGTTCCATCTTACCCATGTAAGATAAGTATTTTTTTTACCCTTCTGTAACGGTATTATCTAACCCATGTAAGTCACGGCATCGAATGGCCAATATAACGTACGGTACTTTCTGATCCGTGTAAGCCACGGTACTTTCTGAACCATATAAGTTACAGAAATCTGTGACCCTCGTTAGTGGTACTATCTGACTCACTAAAACCATGGTACTATAAGACCTAAGTTTATAAGGGTACATTGTGACTGAGTAAGTCTGTGGACTATTTTACCCAATACGCAAGTTTCGAGATTGCAGCTCTCCAACGATAGAGGCGCAAATACAGGGTTGTTCCCAAGAATTGAAATACCAGGGGGCATTAAAAAAGTAGAAGGGGTTCTGGGGTTTCCCTCCTAAGAGGGGGTGAGGTACTATTTGATTCATGTAAGTCATGGTACTATCAAACACTTGTAAAACACGGTGCTCTGTGATCCACTAAGTCACTCTACTTTATGACTCGGAATGTTACTTCAAACCATATTGTTGATATTCTTGTATCATCAACTTATGTATCAATAGCCTGCCTCGTTTTATAAATTGTTCATACATAGAAAATGATCTTGCTTATCGAATCAACTGGGAGACATACCTCCATATACAGGTGATAATGGCATATTGCTTCATAAATAAGGGAAATTAAAGATAGAAAAATAAGTCATCACGGGGTGTTGTGCTGTTTATATAGACAATTTCGCACATGTTGTATGATTTCGTGTTTTGGCATGGTGAAATTAACAATTTATAATATTAGCGATTTTCACTGGAGCGAAAAATGCAAGGTTTAATGAAATATTCAACAAAAACAAACAACATGCAGACTTTAGTCAGAAGAAAAAAAATTATAGCCCAAAGAGGAGGTTTTAACAGAAAGAAACGTTCTCGATATTTTTCTTGCAAGCATGAAAATGAATCATATGTTCAAGAATCACAATCAGCTAAAATGCAATTTAAAATAAATAAACAAATTTTTGGCGATAAAATGCTACAATAAGATGAGCCAAACAAGTCCATGTTGACCAATATAGAACTGAGTGCGTTTCAAATTCGAGGTAGCACGTTTACCAGGAGCATTTACGCGTAACGCTATATACATGTACATACAAATCAACGTGGCTTATTAAGTATGATTCTAAACAGGTCATTAAAAGGCTAATCGCATATAAATGAAGCCAGTGAAGAAATTCAAAATCATAATACGGAGCACAAGGTTGTTCAGCGAGATGTTTTAACTCAACCTTCTTACATTACACATTATATTTCGAACTCGACTCTGAACAAACCTCGGTGTTTACGAAAGCTTTGAAGTTTTTATGTTGACTAAAACTATTGTTTGACATTTTCAGATGCTGGTACACATAGTAAAGACATCATTTTAATAATAATATTAAATTCTCAAGACGTTTAATAAAGATTCAAAATTTGACTAGTAACCGGGGACAACAGATGAGCCTTTTTGAGACTTGCTATTTTTATTATTATTATAACAGCACATTTGCGTAAATACGACATGAAACGATGGATTTATATAATTTCTAAGAAAGAAAACATATCTTTAATCCGATACAGGTATATATTTATTTGTTTACATTCTAGTACTAGTGAAAGGATCCACAGATTACTAATTAATTGATAGTAATTAAGAAATATGACCCGCGTATTCTAATGTACTTCTAGGACCGGTATGTTCTTCATGATTTGAGTTAATTTTGCAATATTGCTAATAATTTATCCCAAAGAAATCCATTCTATAATTAAAATGCACACAATTTCAGCATACCTTGCACATGTTGTAGGGCGAAATTGACAGAAATTGCATTTAAACTTGACATTTTCAAAGAAACAAGTCATTTATCCCACTGAGAATTATCTCTCGTTTATAAGAGGGCCAGTAAACCTTAAAAAATGAAAACAATAGATTCACATCCTAACATTTGTCCAGAAGATAGTGGGTATAATGTATATTCTGTAGAGTTTCTTGTTAGAATTAAACACCAAAATTATATACAATATTCCGTCCTTGTCAAAATTAAAAGTGCTTCAATTCAAAACTCAGCTACAGGTATAAACACGATTTTATTGCTGATTCTTATGGAGACCCACGATCTCCAGGTGTATTAGCGATATCATTACCAGATGTACCGTCTTGTCTATTGTTGTTCATAATAGAAAAATTACTTTTTGGTCATATATAAAATCATCATGATCGGTGTCTTGATTAACTCAAGGAGTGATACACAATAAAAGAATAGTGAAAATTTAAATCTGTAGGAGAAAAAAATATTTATCAGATGAAAAATAATCAATAGTAATGAGAATGAGAGGTGTATAAGGCCAAAGTTTTTATTTTTTTTTTTGGTTTACGATTTTCTGTCTCAAAAAAATGCATTGGGTGGTCGAAAATAAAAATAAAAATAATTTAGGATTCAACAATTTTATTTTAAAATACCAGCAGTGTTTATTTTAATAAAAATAATACACGTCAATAGTTACATACTTTTAAGTTTTATTGTCTAGATCACATAACTCTTTTTATCTAATTTTAATTCATTTCTAACTTTAGACTGAATGTCATTTTCATTTACATATAGTTCTGATTTTTGTTTGTCAATCAGTGCTTGGTTCATGATGTTCAACTTCTTTTTGTGCTCTTCAGTGATATGTGATGTGTTATAAACCTTGGTATCCCCACAAACTAAAAATAAGGATCCAAATTTAAGTTAAATTTAGATTGAAGAAAAATACAATTTAATTGTTTAACAATATCAAAAGTAATTGACATTGAAATAAAGGTTATAATAATTTGATCATGCAGCTATCAAATTTAATGTTCAACCTGCGGCACATAAGCTTAATAATTTCTCAATCAAGTCTTTCTTTAAATTTTAGTTATGTACCTGCACAGTAGGCAATGCTCATTATTTACTTAGTAATTCAGAGGGCTTTGATCTCAATTGAGTATGAAATTTGCAAAGTTTTGTATATTGAATTTACTTCTATAAATTAACAAATGTTTTATACACATTTGAATTTATCCAGTGAAATACCAGTCAGCGTTACTTCAACTAAGATGTATCTCTCAACACTAAATTGGCTTCACTATTGTCCATAGATTTATCAGCCTATTTTGGGAAACGCCATTTTGGGGGAATTGGGAAAAAATTATCGGCTATTTGATGAAATTGGAAAAAAAATTAAAATGTTGCTTAAATCATGTATTCAGGGGTAATTCGATCATTTAACATTTCAGCATGAACTCTAATTTGGGCAACCAAACGACAATTAAATATGATCCATCTTCATCATACAAGATCTAATAAAAGTAAAATGGACTTCAATGAGTATAAAGTATTTATACAACTTAAGGTAGTACATGTACATGTGTGTATGAGATTTCAATTTAGATCATTATGGTATCTCTTTCTGGAGATTATAAACCTCCTGTAAAAAATTATACTAAGTACACATTTTCTAAAAGTCCTCTTTAAATATGTATTAATGCATTGAAAATATATTTTTCTATCTGAAATAATGCCTAAAGTCCTTACCATTCACTCGCAGATCAATTGAGTAGGTGGAAATAACTTAATAAATCTATATAATTACACAATATCATCATTTTTAGAAAAACGGAGGAAATTCGGATTAAGAGTTGGCGATGTTTTTTACAGTGTTTTTAAACATGTGTTATGACTGTAGCTTTGCTAAATGAGTTAAATAGATGAAAATTACAGACAATCTGACAATTTTACTTTGTGTTTTTCCAAGATAATTAAAAATAAAAGCATTGTTCATCAATTGGGAAAAAAATACTGCCAAATTGGCAAAAAAATGAACTCATTTTCAATTGGGAATGGGGCCGAATTTCGGCCCAAGGCACTGATAAATCCCTGTTATCTATGGGTGTATCCGTTTCTGTTAGGTCGATTAGGGTTGGGTATACACTCTTCTAGGTGTATCCGTTTCTCTTAGGTCGATTAGGGTTGGGTATACACTCTTCTAGGTGTATCCGTTTCTGTTAGGTCGATTAGGGTTGGGCATACACTCTCCAATATTACGGTATAAATTTAGCCAATTGAGACATTGCAATTGGAGAAAGGGATCATGCATCCAAGATTTTATTCACTTTCCTATGCAGAAAAAGTTCTTTCAGTGTGTGTCATTGCTTTCAGTGAGGAATTACCTTGTTACATGACAGAACCGCCATTTTGTTTATTTATGGTCACCTAAATGTTTGTAATGGTCTCGTATATTTATAAGCGCTTATTTGACTAAGATGCATTCTAAAATTTAAAACCCACCAGTTCAGTGGAGAAAAATCCGGAAAAATATGTCGGAGAAAGACATTATTTTTATTTTCATGATTGGTGAAAATTAGGGTCGGCGGAATCGGAAACCAAAAGAAAAAAAACTTGGCCTAATTTTGGGCTGATGGAAGTGAACGAAGCCATAGCCTAACCGGAAGCTAAGGGATGCTGCTCCATCAATTAATTTGGCCCTGCATTCTTATTGC